TAGTAGACTCAGGGGCAAAATCTTAGGCTAGTGCCGAGTCAAAGTCAGTAAAACGGTACCTTTTTATGTACGTGTACGGTGATGGACAGGCACAAAATCAACTCTGCATCCCACCCGTCCCAGCCCGCAACAACCGCACTCCGTCCGCGCCCCTGCATTGGCGTCAGGGGTCCCCGTCAAGGGGCTTAGCCAGAATGGGACTGGTGGATCGACATGGGGACTGGTCGGGACACCGGACGGCCTCGACTACCAGAACGGGGGCGGGCTTCACTCATCTTTTTTTTTTGCCAGGTGGTGAGCCATAGGAACCATTGGCTACCGCTCTTCCAAAAGCTACGCGGCAGAAAGCACAGAAGCAAGAGAAAGAGAGGAAGCAGGGAAGCCTGAACCAAATCATTCCCTACACCCCCGGTCCTGTCTGAAACTGCGCCATCACGGAGAAGGAGGAGCAACCTCGTCTTTCACCAATGAGATTTTCTTATCTATCATCAATTGTGCAGCTGTCAGCTGGAAGTCTGGGACTCTGGGAGGCGGGTGAGAAAATTCTTGATTGTGGCCGATTCATGAATCCATCCACTGGAGTCCAATTCAAGTTTTTGTACTTCGTCATTATAGAAACAAAACAGAGGAAAAAGACTCAAACTTTCAAACACTTCAATACCAATCAGTGGTTCTGAACCTGTCCCTCCTCCAGCGGTCCAGCCCCCATTTGTCTTGGGAAAGTAGATGAAAATGATCGAAAGCCCAGGCGCTACGGGAAATTCTTGCCGCTGCCACGTTGATCAATTCAGGTCGGTCAATCTCGTCACAAGCCTGTCGAGAACCACAGTAACCACAGTTTACGGAGTACCAACGGGCTTAAACCGACTTTGGTCACTGATTGTGATGAGACCACTCTATATCCAGGTCGGCACATGACAAGAGAGTCCTCTATACGGATAATCAATTGATGTGAACGGCTCGATGCAATCGGATTGCCGTTGATACCCTACTAAGATTAAGAACCTGGGTTACCGTGTAAAAATAAACGTTTGTCTCCCAATCCCAATCTCACACGCCCCTTACCTCATCTCCATACTTCCGCCATATCTTCCTCACCTCAATGTCGGAATGTCCCCACGTCACAATCCAAGCCGCGTCGCTTATCCATCATCGCTACCACGTTCATATCGCGTTGCTGTGTAGGGATGAGGATCGGTGCGTCTGCATTATCATTAACAATATCCGTCATCTCAGGCCCACATCAGCAATACACTTTCCCCCAAACCTTGGACAATTGTATGCAGTAGAGGAAGAATAAGAAGAAGCTACGGAGTACGTCTGCGCAGGCTACAGCAGAAGAGGGCACGGTAGTTACAATGCCCGTAGGTACAGCCGCTGCATTGTACATTACCTTAGTATGTGCGGCTACGCGGTACCTGTGCGTTCTCACGACATTTTAACTTGCGCAGTAACACAACTACGATGTAAAGTGAGGCAGGGCAATCCTGATCTTTCACACACAAGTTGAACTTAAAAAGATGATGACTTCGGATCACCCACTTCTTCCCATCCCATCTCCCGCGCCCGCTTCCCCCACCCACCTTTCCGCAGTCTGCTCACCTGCCTTAGGAATGCTCAACTATCCGCACGAGAAGATGTAAGGTTAGGATGGCCCGTGTTGTGCTCCCCGGGAGGCCTGCCAAGCCACATTCCAACCCCCTCGGCGCCTGCTTGCCCATTTGTCCAACATTCCAACTCTAGTGTTGGCTCTGCCCTACCCATACTCAACGCTGGCACCGACCATTGCTTGTCCTCGTCTGATCCTGCAGCCTACGGGATACTCGCAGCCTTCGACAGCCTGCGCCAAGTGACGAATTTTTTACCCCTCCATCCGTCCACCGGCTCCCGTCCGTCCCGTCACTGCAAAGGAAAGTCCGGGCAACAAGCGAACGCGCAGTACCGGTGCCGTGCCGTGCATATGCCACCTCACTCCTCCCAAGCCGGACATACCGCGCCGTCTCGTCTCTTCTCCTCTAAGCTGTAGGCTATATGCAGATGTGCAGATACTTCCGTGCTTTGCTCCACCGAGTTAGAGTACGCTGAGCTCAGCCCATCTCAGCCCAGCTCTGGCCTGAGCCTCGGACGGTAAAGCAAACGCAACACAAACGACTTGTGCCTCAGAACCCCCGCGCCAAAACCGCCTAGACGGACGCACCGCCCCCTTGGGCCTTGGTTGTCAATCTTTTCATCCGATATTGACGACATGTCACGTCTGCAGAACCCCCCTTACTTAGCATATGTACGGATACGCAAAACGCCAAAACCTTGATCTTTTTCAAGGGCAACCTTCTTTTTTTTTCGTCAAAAGGTTACATCCTGTTCCCACGCCGTCACCAAACAAAGGCTGTTTCTTTCTTTTCTCCTCCAATGGTTTCTTCAACAATATGACCTCAAGTTGCTCTGTAAACGTTTCCGAAACTCGTCAAAGCCCCTGATTTACCCTGATTTACCCCCTCCCCCCATTCGTCTCTGTCTCGCGGCTTTCCTTCCCGACGTTGGCAGTGGTACCGTGTGATTGGAAACACTCTCCACCAGGAGTTTTGAGGGGAAGGGCGAGGGGGTTGGTCATGAAGCCCAGCAGCGCACTTCCAAAACCTGTCCAGAAAAAGTAAAAGTGACTTCATCGCCAACATCCCCAAACTCTGGCTTCAACTACCGTGATGTCTTCCCAAATTTCCCAATGCCCTGGGATACCCAACCATGTCTCGGGCTTCAAGCGCCTTCTATTCTCCCACGAGACCGGTCTCGTCGGAAGAAACGTAGGTAGGCCTCCAGGACGGCTTCCCCGGACCCCGACACTTCTCTCCGTCGTCATTGTCAAGCATTATCCCTCGCTTGCGTTCTCACTGCCACCCATACGTACGGATATCCAAACATTCCCACTATCCCGTAGAGAATCCCCCCTCCATAAACAGTCCCTCGCTCTTGGACCCCGTACCATACCCGCGGTATCTGTCTTGCCTTCCAAAACGATCGGCGACGATGACGACGAGCCACAATAGTACCTCTCAGCTATAGCCTCCTGTCCATACAGATTACAGGTGGATGAATGCTCGTAGACACTCGAGCGATAAGATTCAAATCCTGGGAAACCCATCATTCCTCTCACTCTGGAATCGCGCCCCCGAGAGCGAGCAATGCGTTCGATGCATCCATCTGGCAGGTCTTCTCTTCAACGAGAGGCACCCTTGGCTTCTCGAAACCCAAGTCCAAATAGCACGTGTTGGGTTTCTTTTTCTTCGTCTTTACTCTTCATTCCGCTCCCATTCTCAGCCTCCCCCAAGTTCCGACTCCAACTCCCAGAGAAAAAAACATATACAGTATAGACACCAACAACACGGCCCTCCCTCCCACGGCTTGGACACAGGCTCACCCTCACATCTTGAATCCCCCCTCTTCCGAGCGGCCCCCAACCAACCACAACCCAGAACCCGTGATGGAGGTAGATTAATAAAAGCAAGCAAGACTGTCGCCAGTATTTCCCAGCTACCCGGCCCGGCTGCCCTTTTCCCTGCTTTTTTTTTCACTCTATTGTGTGGTATGCACCTGCGTCTTATGCCAAACGGTAACAAAATATCAAAGGGTATCCTGTACCCCGACAATCAGGCACCAGATCCAGCATAACCTCCGTCCGTCCCAGGTCCCGGTCGGAACCCGTCGAGACCAAGGAAACTTTTGATGATTTATCCCTCCCCTCTCGATCAAGAGCATAAATGGCGAAAAGAAAGATATGATGGCATTCCACCCACAGTACTCGGTATGCGTACACTGACTACCTTATCCATACGTACACAAAAATCCCAACCGTGACTCCGCGGTCGCCCGTTCCCTCCTTCCCGGCCCGCGGCCCGGGATACGTATTTACGCTATTGCGCCTCGTATGAAGCGGGTCTTCCCTCGTCCTTACTTAGGATACCGTATGCTGCCTACAGGCACGGTGTCACCAATGACCTCCCTTCTCCATCCAAGTAAAAACCCCCCGTAAGTGTGCCCCCCGAGACTACGACGCATTTGCCTTGGAAACTGTGGAACCTCAGAACACTATGTACAGCGTGTCCGTACAGGCGCAAGAGCACAATCTTGGTGATTTGGGAGGGGGGTGGGGGCACAGGGAGGGCTTCAACATCCCAGAGAATTGGGAAAGGCTTGTTCCTCGATGAAGTCGGATAGGCAAGCTCCGCGGGGGGTTTCAACCGTTCGACCCGGCAAGACATGAAGACGCTGATCCCACGGGAGTCCAGAGCACCCGTACTCCGTACGTAGTAGATATTTTTGACCGTGGCCACTCCGTATCGCTCGCGTACCGCTCATTGGAAATCTCTGGAACATTTGACTGGACCCAGGATGCTAAAAATGCTTCTCTGGTGGGGACCAAAAAAGCTAGGTTGGAACTTGGCACACTGAAAGGGCATGTCGCGTCCGTGTTCACGCGCGCTATTGAGTGGGTTAAGATGATATTGGGTACGCATATCAGACTCTTCTCTATCTAAGCGTTCGCATTGGAGGCATATGGCCTTCTGTCATGATTGATGATGCTTTGCTAGTGGGCAGATATCCCATTCAGGTCTGAGAGTACGATGTAAAACATACATTGTCCAGATATATAAAGAACACTCGCTCCCTTTGACTTGGTACCCAACACTGGCACTCTTTCTCTTGCGTGGCATTTCCAGCAACCATAGTGCACGGCATCATTCAGCTTAGAATGTTCCGTGACTCCGTTGACCGTCTATATTTCTTCCTGATCCTCCATCCTGAGCGCCACCGTGCTTGCCCTGACACTGGTATAGGCCGTAACATTGATACATCGTCAAGCGAGAGCCGGGTCCGGCGTTCGCATTCCATACAGATGAAGAAATAACCGGACTGAATTGCTATGAAAAAGGGTATCTAAATACGCGATAAGATTGAAGCGAATATTTCATGGCCTCGGTAGAGGCACATAGATACTGCATGATCTACTGTGGTGGGTAGAACCCTTGACCACCTTGGAGGGGAGAGTGTGAATAGGGTGAGATAGACCCCTGAGAATTGTACTGGTTCTCGTCGATGTTGCTCTGTCCCATGAGTCCATCATAGGCCATGCCTACACCCATCTGCCCAGGTTGGTGTAGTCCAAGGGCGTTGTGGTCGAGTGCGGGAAAGGGCTCAGTCTCTTGTGCCAATGACATGTATTGTTGCTGGGCTCCCATATATGATGCGGCAGGCATGGTCATGTTGGTTGTGTTCTGGTATTGGTGGTTGAGACCCTGGGTTGCTCGGTTGACAGGTTGCATGCCCATCAAGTTCTGAGCCATCGGCTGACTAGTGTTCGGATACTGGGAAGAGTACATGTAGTCTGGGAACTGCGAGTTACCCCCGACCCCCGAGAACCCAAGGTTGTTCATGTTCTGGTATAAACCATTGTTATTCGCCATCATGGCGTGAGGTTGATATGACGACTGGTTCCCATAGTTGTGAATAGAGGGCTCACTCTTGACGACTGACTCGTCCAAGGGAGTTGGTGCATTGAAAGGAGCTCTGGGCGGGGGGTCTTGCACCGGGCTGATGATGGTGTCTGGCTCCAGCTCCTTGGCAGCGACCAGATGTAGGATCGGTAGACTGAGATGCTCCATATGCTTCGCCAGATGGACTGTCAACTTCTTCCATGTAGGAAACTGCTTGCCACAGAAACGGCAAGGCTCCTCCTGTGGTCTCTTCGTTGTTTCATGACGGCACTGTTCTACCTTTTGCCATGTGGGATCGATGCCGCCAGCCCGTTTGATGGCGGCTTTAGTCTTGTTCTTCGGTTCGACGAACTTGTGCTCGCGCACGAGATGCTGTAAGAAATTGTCCCGGCGGTAGCATGTGTGCCGACAGTCCTCAACGTCGCATGTCCACCACTCTAGATGCCGATGGCCCTCATTCTCATGGCGTACCCAGTCGGCTTTACGCTTGAAGATCTTGGGGTCACGGCATCTGTCCCAAGTGCAAGTGAAAGGCTGTACATCCTCGTGGACATGCTTCGTCCAGTCAGAGGGCTTCTTGGGCTTCTTCAGCGTGAAGCAGAGCTGGCATTCGAATTCCGCCGGGAGGGATTGCGTAGGCGGCATAGGTATGTCCTGTGGAAAGCTATCCTTGGTAATAGCACCCTCCACAGGGGTTGAGTCTCCGTCCCCAGAGTCAGCGCCTGTTGACAGAGGGTCGATGTCTCGTGAATCGCCTTTCTGGTCGAGCAGGACTGGCCGACCACCACGAGCCAAACAGAACGATCCGCACGTGCAGGCCTGGCCAATCCCAAGATGCTTCACCTTGGCACTGAGGAGGCTCTTGTAGCGAACAACCTGCTGATGGGCGATCCGATCAACGAGATAGTTATTGTTGGTTGCCAGATCCGGATTCAGGCGGAGAACATGCGTTTGGAAGCCTGCAAAGTTTGGCGAGACATCCTGGATCAACTTGCTGGATTCCGCATTCATGTCACCATCCTCGTAAAGTTCATCCTCGTCGTCATCATCCTCATCCAGGTCAACATTTGTCGAGTTACTCTTGGCAAGGACAGCCACCGGCGGGCCGCCTGATTTCCTCCACATGCCAACCAGGTTTGAGTGTGTTTCGTTTCCGCTAGCTTTTGGTAGATCCGACTTGCTCCTTGGCCGACGAAGTGTGTTTTTGACTTGTAGACTGCCAAATGGACTCTTTGGTGATGTAATGGGCGTGCCGCCGATTGAACCATTCCGTGCGTGTGTTGTGCCAATTGAAGCCACACTGCTTCCCATGGTGACGAGAGCGGTGTTAATACTCGGCGTAGGTGTCTTCTTGGACCCCCAGCTGCCAGTTCGTGCAGTAGGTAGAAGATGAGGCAAACTCTCACGCTTCTCCATAGGGGGCGGAGCCTCCGATTTGGGAATGTTTTCGCCGTTGGTGCTCCTAGACCGCTTGAGCAAATGGCTGGCACTCGGCCGACGGACGAGGCCGCGCAAATCCTTGAGGATGCTTGGCCTACGACCTCCCTCGCCTCTGCTGATGGAAAGCTTCTTCAACAGGTTCCCACTGGTGACGTTCTCGGTGTCCATATCGATAACGCTAGGCAGACTGCGTCTTCGTGTGCCCCACGTAGCCGCTTTGGAAATGATGGATTCATTATCCATACACATTCTGTTGAAACGAGCAATTGCAGCTTGCGAAGATTCCGGCTGGTATCGATCTGTGTCTGGGCCACTGATAGGGTGTACAACGGGTGAATCACCCCAGACACGGTTCGAATTCATGATATGGAAGTCCGTAGCCGTCATCTCGCCGCCGCGAGCTGTGAAATAAGTTTGTCCAGGTTGATGGCGGTTTTCAGTCTGATTGCCAAGACGGATGCCGTCTTCCCCAGCCATGGCATCGGGGCTAGCATGCAATCTGGTCTCTGGCTGAGAAGAGGCTGCAGTTGGGTCGTTATTCAAGCTACGAGACAGCCATTGATCAACTTCCTGGTTCTTTTCCTCGATCTCACGGCGTGTCATAATGTCGTTTACGCTGGCAACTTCAGTAGAGGGTCTATTCGTCGGATCTAAACCACGGCGGCTGAATGATGAGCGTCGTGGGGTTGTCGTATCAGCGACTGGTCCTTGGGACGAGATCAAGTCACCAGCGGAGCTGAGCCCGGCAGGTGCTGTGGTCGAGTTCTCGTCATCTGGTGTAAATGTGCGCTCGATTGACTGGACCGGTTCGGTAGCATCTTTTCCCCACATGGAGACAGTCACTCGAGGACTCTGAGCAGCCATCATGGGAGGAGACGGCACTGCGCTGTCCTCACTGGAACGACCACTACCACTGAGATCTGGTGTCAATTGAGATGCGGACTGTGGGGCGAAAGTGGAAATCTGAGGAGGTTGGAATGGCCTTTGTAGCTCCTGAGGTGAGATGGATAGAGGGAGTCGCTCAGGCACAGACTTGGAAATCGTTCTCATATCGCTGCGCGGTGAAGTCGTGTGCAGTGAGGCCGTCTGCTCAGGGGTGAACGGATAGGTAGTAGCGTCCAGGTTTTTGCTTCTCGCCTGGGAAATTGTGGCCTGGCCGAAGCTGTCGGTTCTGTGTTCCGGGTCCAGGAAGGAGGGCGTACCCGCTTCAGTATTGCTAAAGTCGACGCCAAAGAAGGGGTCCAGTCCATCGTCCATATCGCTGAAGTCGCTCGAATGATATTGGCTATAGTTAGAGATAGACTCTGCTGGAGTATCGTTATAGTTGGGTGAGACGGAGCTGCTCTGCAACTGAGACGAAGGCGAGAGATGATTCGGGTCAAATGAAGTGGCAGTCAGTCGTCGTTGACCACTACTTGGTGGGGAGGGGTTGTGGGCATCGCTAGCTTGTCCATCGTGCAAGGCCGCGGGAGGTACGGCGTATGTCGAAGCCATGGCCACGACACAACGCGAGTGTATGGGGGGAGATTGTAGGAGAGGCTAATCGTGATATATAGGTTGGCTTGATGTAAAGGTACGGTAAATCAGGCGAGATGGAGCCAAAGCCGAGGACGGAACTACTCTTTGAGAGTTGTTAGAAGACAAGCGCTGTCATGTTCCGACTTGATTGTGTTGGTTGAATTGGAAGCGATCAACTGAGCAGGCTGAAGGTGGGGTTAGGCGACAGTCGCAACAGGGCTCCAGGAAGCAGTCTTGCACCAGTTTGTGGATTGGAGCAAAAGGCACGATACTGTGTTGACAAGGCGATGCGATACCACAGAGCAGTTGAATGTGGAGGAGGAAAGCAGTCGCCAGCGAGCAGGGGGGGAAGCCACGAGAAGAAGAAGAAGTGGTCGTGGAGGGCGGCGGCGTTTGCGCGGCCTAGATGTGTTGGTCGTTTCTTTCGTCCAGCGCTTATGCTTTTCGCTGATTGTGTATTCGGACAGGTGCCGTGGGGAACAACTGGGTCAAGCAACAAGCAATAGATCAAACTTGTCTAGGTATGCGAGCATTAAGGTGCTGAGGTGATTTCGAAAGCAAAAGAGTTGTTTGCGGCGTTTCGCAGTGAGGCTGAGTTGAGGTCGGTGGCAGAGAAGTATAGCCAAGATGGAAAGAGTGACAGTCGACCGGTGGAAGAACGGGGGGTGCGAGGCGGGATATGCGATAGAGTATCCGCGGGTCTTGTGTAAAGAAGCTCAGGAATCAGGGGTATGCGAGGGGGTGTACAAGACTCGATGAGATCATGCAGAGACAGTAAACGAGGCGGAAGAGAGCCTAGGACCGGCGCATGGGTTGAATGTGGCAGAGTCGCGAGCCGGACGGGAGGCAGAGGAGGGGAGAAGGGGAGAAAAGAGTTGGTGAGACTTGTAAGAGAGAGGGAGAGGGAGAGATGATCTTGGGATGACGAGGGGAGGGATGGTTGGATAGGCGTAAGGTACGAGTACCCAGCGGGCTAACCTTGGAGAAGTAAGAGACGGTTGGGGGTGGGGATGCGATTGTGACAAGACAAGCGCGAGACAGGACGGAATTCAATCTCGAGGAGGGGCGGAAACCAATCAGAAGCCAGGTACCTGACCTACCTACCTTAGTTAATAAGGCAATTAGGCGGACATTTGCGGGTGGTGGTGGTGGTGGTGGTGGTGCATGGCGAAGGTACGAAGGTGCGCCCCAGGGTCAATTGAAGCTCAAGATGGGAAGGGCTAAAAAGTACGGTACCTTTTTTTTTTTTTTTTTTTTACCTTTGGTAAAGATAGAGTACCTATTTGCTCTATACTATCCGTACCTTGGGATGAGGTACCTTGGGTAATTTTCAACACGAGCAGAAATGGAAAGCGAGAGAAAGACTCAGAGAGAAGTGACACTATGGGAGCATGAGAGTTTCGGTACCTTGAGGTAGCTTTTCCCACTGCCCGCCAACCCACACACCCATTGAATTAGACTTGGGCAGTCTGCCTGGTGTCTCTCACTCTCCCGTCTCTCATCCAGGTTCAGCTGTCGCGTCCTGTCCGCCCTCGACGTTTAGGTTCCATTGTCTCAGTGAATAGGAAGCGTGTGGGCGGTACCTTAGCGGTAGCATGCCGGCCACTTGCGCAGCCCACCGAAGCGGGAATGCGCCACAACGCTGCCCTCTTGTCACCTAGATTCTTTACCGATACTACGATGTCCTATGGCTACGGGGACGGAGGATTAAGGACGGACTACCTAGTGGCTGGGTACGGACAACAACAAGGTAGAGATGGCATGCGGAATTGCTGCTCGTCTGTTCGCATCGTTGATTCAGATTTGGTTCTCAAGTTTTCGGCCGAAATCTGGAGGAACCACACCTTCTTGATCCCGAGACTCGGTTTGTACGGTCGAGAATCGCGATATTGTCAGATCAGGTACCTGACGTGCTGACCCAACTTGGAGGAGTCGTGATATATCGCTATCTTGCCATATTCTCATGCAAGAACCTTACAGGTTCGAGCAGGTATTCTCAGAATGCCTTGCCTTGGTAATGCTCCTGCTCCATGCTCCATGCTTCCTTCCCGCTCATATTCATGTCGACTGCGACTTCCTCATGGCTCATGCAGCAACGCTGCCCCGCTCCGTCATGTGGGGCATTTGGGAGACTCCGAGAACTGGAAGGAACGCTCACGTCTCTGAGTGGTTGATAGCTCAATACAGCGGTACATATCCCTTAGCCTCAGTACATGTACGAAGTACCTACCTGTTCACAGGCGCACTCGCTCGTAGGGCGGAATGGGGGCCGGGAGCGAATCAGGAGCGAACCAGGAGCGAACCAGATGGCAAGGGACCTGAGACCACCACCCACACCCACGGCAAATCAAAGTATCGTCTTAATTCTTCCATTTGCGCGAGGCGTTCTTCTTTACTGTCGTTGGGCGCATTTCTCTCAGCCCCAGCCCGCAGGGCAGTTTTACCTCTCCACTGCAACTTTGCAACTGGAACTCCCGACCGACCGTCCTCGACCTCAGACTCAGAGTAACCTCGGACCTCACACACTCATCCCGTCACACACTCCCCGTCTTACACTTGCGCCGCCGTATGAGCAGGGATCCAATACCTACATCCATCCCACCTCATGTCTGCCATCTGGCAGCCCACCACATCTTGTCGCACAGATGCAAGCTACTGTGGCTTACTTCTGTCCCTCCACTTAGGTCACGCTCTGCTCTTACGCTCAGCGTCCGTCGCTGCACCTCACAGTACCTTAGTAGATGGGTGGCTGGATTCTTGTCCCTGGGCTTGATAATGCCACAAGATTAGTGTCATCTCGACCTCGACACGACATTCGGTCTCCGACCATCGATAAACCTTGGGTCAGCCTGTGTTCACCGAGAAGGCAGATTTCCACTTCCGGCCCTAGCTTCGTATGGTCCCTCTCACATTCTATCACCGATGCTGTCCGCCCAACACCTCATACCGACCACATACCAAACCCTTGAAAAGCGCTCGTCAGACTTACCGGCTTGCAGACGCTTGATGTCATCCGACGGCATGTGCTTCTCGCTGAAAAGCTGCGGTAACGTACGAATGCATGCCCTTGTGGCAGATGCTACGGATAGGCATCAGCCCCTAAACAGAGTGCCGCGAATATCGACAATTGTTTCCGCTTAAGGGTCGCTCATCCATATGGCAGCAGAAACGCTTTCAGCTCGGTCGCCATATCGCTCTCGCATTCAAGAGTCTAAAAACCGAATAACCCCCCATTATCCGCTCTGCACAGGGTACGAAATACTGGGGAAAGCGACATTGGCTAGTGGGGCCTAGCACCATTATGCACAGCCGCAGCCGCCGCGATGGAACTCGGATATTTCAGTCGAGTTGGGGATCCTGGGCGAAGCAGAAGCGCTGTGTTTTTGAGCTTGACCGCTAGCCTGGCGGTGCACTCCGCCGGTCGCCGCTCCAAACCCGCGGCATCAGGGTTGCGCAGCGCCATAAACATCCCCGACCCGTCCGTCCATGTCGGCGACGCCTCACGCGTTGCATGGAAATACCGGCGTTTTCATGCTCGCTTGTTGGTCTCCGTGTCTTATCTGCGGCTAATAATGATGCTCCCGCAGACCTTGATATGTATATTTATTCGTGCTCTTGGAGTGTGCCTCGAGTGAAGTCCCCATCTTCCGCCTGATCCGCGAATGGTGGGCAAGTCTCCAGTAACGAGCGCCTTTCGTAAACGCGATCTCTCGGCGGTTAACTAGATTAATGCTCATCTATGAGGCATGTTCTATCGCGAAATAGACGCAGCGAATGTGTCGGTTCGACACGATGCCGAGTATGGAAAACTTTCGGCGACCTGGAACCATGAATGGACACCAAGACGCATGGATCATAATGCCAACGGATGACCTAGACTTGAACCAGACTTCTGTCAAGTCTCCCAGGTCCTGAGAACCTCTCGAGATCTCGACATAAGTGCTATACACAAAAGAGCATGTAACCAAACAATTTTTTCAACAAATCCTGGGTGCATATATCACGGTACCTAGCCAGCCATTCTGCGTCGGCGGAAGAAAGGATTCGAAGTGTAAGAAGGTACGATGAACGCATCCTCGGGGACGTCTTGGGGGCTTATCTAATCACTGCACCTGATCCACCTCGGCGACGTCGTCAACCACCACCAACACCACCAAGAGCCAGGGTGGAGATCACCTGCCCAGAAACTCTAAAGCACTACACTTCAGCTCTCGATCTATCTACCTTACTCCGTATCTCTATGGCGATGGAGCCATTTCAGCCCTGAATTTCGCCATTCGTTGACTTGACTATTCGGCTCCCGCCGCCTTCCAATTGGCTTCGTTTCTTCCAGTGAAGGAGCCGTACAGATACTACGCAGCTGCAAAAGCGGCTCAGTCGCAATCCAATACAGCTCATCGAGACTGCAACCTCGTAGATATCCTGACCCGGACTGCTCGGGGATCAGCATCGTAGTGAAAGAGCCTCTCAAACACTTATCATTACAATGTTTCAGGTTCGTATTCCCATCTCGAAAGAGAGCATCTTCTGCAATGCCACATCGAGGTCTACAGTCACCGATTTTTTTCGTAATGAACTACCGCAGCTCACCATCGCCTTTTCTCATCCTTACAGCCAAACCCCCAAGACCACCTTCACCTGCGCCTCCACCGCGCCCGTTCCGTAATCCTAACCGCCGAGGAGTGAGTCTCAACCTCCGTTCCTCTCAAAAACCTCTCCCATAATTGACAGTATTGACCCTTCCCTCCCCGCGCCAAAAAGACTCGTCGAGATCCGCGCCGCCCAACGAACCTTCGAAGGCGCCTACATGCGCACAGCCCTCTCCCAATTCTCCTTCGCCCTCATCATCCTCAAAATCTTCACCTCGGAATTCTACGCCATCGGCGCCTTGTTCGCCGTCTACGGCGCCGCCGTCATGCTCGTCGCCATCTTCCGCCGCCACGAGGGCAACCGCCAGTTCTTCACGAGTCCCAAGGTGGACGAGGGCAGCGGCGCCGCGAGCGGCGGCGTGGTGCGCAAGTTCCGCACGAGCGGGAACAGCGTCGCCATGCTTACCGTCTTAAGTCTTGCTGCGTATGTTACGCTTTTGGTGCTTACGTGGCAGCTTGTGCAGTGATGTGAGGGGTGAAAGGGGAAGGGGAGTTGGATGAGTAAGTAAGCTGGTCTGGGTTTTTGTGGTTTTTTTGTGATGGGAGGATGGATTTTTGGTGATTACGGCTGCTGGTATCTCTTCTGTCTATAAAATGTACGAGGTCGCGGTGATTTACTCTCATTAAATCATGTACCCTGAATCTCAGATTCCGATCTTAACCACTAATTAAATCATCAAGGTTCTCCAGAGTAGACCAAAGACAAAGTCAGGGCTTTCCGTGACTTCTCTGTCCTCTGTCATATACTCTCAGCCTAGATATCAGAAACTCAGCGCCATGCCAAACATCCGATGGTCCAGAATCGCAACACAGATGTGGGTGACGGGTATCAGCAATACCAACCATATTGTCACTACCAATGGGTACCCATCAACGGTGATCAGGACGTCGAATCCTTGGAGAGGTCTAGTCTCAACAATTAGATACTCGTACGCCTCAGGCAGCCTGTAATTTTGTCAGGGAAATGGGATCTCCGTCTACAACGTCACTAGAGGAAGTGGGTTGAAAGGTGTTTTTCAATTACGGGATCTTGATTTGAAGCAAGACAAAGGGGTACAAATCACTGATAAAATGTCTGAAACTGGGTTCCCTGTCTCCATACGAAACAAATCGCGTCCAGTGAGAGTAATCCCATCCAAATTCAAACCTAAACTTACTTGTTCACAGTGTATTTCAGTAAGCTAGACATGTCTCCTTGACATATCATGCATCATGCGTTGGGACTCGCGGGCATGGGTACCTGAGTGAGTCCAATGTATTTTCCGCCTAGTCTCGACCTTTACCGATCTCAAGGCCGTCTTCCCATCGACTTGGTATTTGGGGTTCATCACCGAATACAAAACCATGAACTGCCTCTCAGGGCAGAAGGGCAAACAGGTAACAGCAACCCTCAGCGCGACCCCTCACTGCAAGAGCCCAACAGGGTTGTGAGCTTGATCTCACAAAGACAAAGACAAGAAGAGAGCTTGATAGATCCAAAAGTAAGTTCAAGAGGACCAGAGAAGAATGAACGGGCTCAATACCAAAATCTGGATTGAAGTATTCGCCATTTCCGAGGAAAGTTCTCGGAGGTTAGGGAATTCTATGTACTGATAAGACGCGCGCTCGAGAGAAAAGAAGGGCAAAGAAACCAAAACGGCTGTATGATAAGAATGTTGAACTGTGCATTGAAGGAGATTTGTTGAAGTGAAGAAGAGAAAACAGAAGAGGAAGCAACTAAAGGCGAGCAACAGGTAAGCGTCATGATGACGCCGGTGGTATAAAATGCGCGTGTGTCTCCAGACCCGACAAATGCGATCCCTCCCCTTTTTGTTTTCGAAGCCTGCCTCATCCACTTGCCGTCGCTTCTGTACTTCCCATAGCTCCTCAATGCTAGCTGCGAATATAAACACGAAAGGCAAAGGGAAGACTCTTCGTCCGACTGTACGGCGCTGCGGATCGCCGCGCCCGGCCCGAACCTCCCGTCTCACGGTGCGTTCCCGAGACAAAAAGTGACCTCGTATTCCGCCTAGGTATGAGTAGGCTCCTCCCCCTCCCCGCTTGCTCGGCATCGACCATGCGCCTTGCGCTCGGGGCCCCGCAACATTCCTTCCGCGATGTGCTTGCATTCAAATCTGACGTCTGCCAGCAACACGTTTCGTGCGATCCCGGCGTTGCGGAGCCGTCATCGGCATGCCAGTGTCCCTTGATCCTCGCTTGAAAATGGGGCATATGGTTGCTGTTGCTTTTGAATCCCTCAAACCCCCATTGATTGCTTTCTGTCGTTTCTCGTTCCAGGGCGGTCAAGGCTACCGTTTGGAACATTTTTTCCGGTTTCGCATGAATTTGAACTACTCTCCTATCTTTTCTACTTAGCCTTATGTTTGCTTAGGGTATTTTGTTTTTCTCGTTCTTCTCTCTTTTCTCGGCCATGGGCTCCGTCTCGTCCCCTTTATGCCGTGTGCCAACTTCGATGGAGTTTGAAGCAAAAGAAGGATGTTTGGAACCGGGGTTCTCAGGGCTTTCCGTTGATGATGTAGCAAGGTTGTGGCTAGGAAGTGCCTAGCTTCCGCTACTGTTGTCATAAGCTGTCCAAGTGTCGTATCCCTCGGATGGCCTAGGATAGCCGTAGGGGGGCTGCTGCTGCTGCTGTTGCTGTGGCCAAGTACCGTAACCTGAAGGCGGGTTGGCACCTGCAGACATGGAAACAGTGTGCGGGTCCATAGTTGGGAAACTTGTCGCAATCGGGTTCGTGTACATGTCGGTCGTCATCGCCGCCGAAGACCTTCTGGGGAACTGCCGGCCCTGGTGTGACATCGTGGGGTATTGTGTAGGTATCTGTGTGCCTCTTGGGTATGCCATAGGGTTCCCTATTGTGAATGACGAATAGCCCATATTGTTTTGAGCATTGATGTCTGCGTTGCTCCAGCTGGCCGACGGTGGGGCTTGAGATGTATACGGCGAGAACGACGGAGACGGAGTAATCGGGGACTGTTCAGCGTAAGACTTCTTCGTTTCCTTCAAGTCACCTGGCTTTGTTGCATAGTTGGAACTAACATCTGGTGATGCCCAGTTCGTGATTTGGGGATTCGCAAAATCGTAGGGCTGAGAAGACGCTGTAGTGCTCGAGACAGGCACTGTTCGCTTGTTAGCTATTTGACATGTCTCCGGGATGCGTGAAAACTGGCCTGTGGGGTCCTGACCAAGATTTCCGGCTGCAGAAGTCTGGATAGTTGTCGGTAGTACGTTTTGTGACGAGGGCAGAACTCCTCCTTGATGGTGCTGATAGTGTTGGGATCCTTCTGGGGCTTGTCTAGGAAGTACAACGGGAGAAGACGATGCGGAAGCGGTGTTAGATCCCCCGGCAGGTCTCGATTGCGCTTTGGGTTTTGCTTCAGTCATGTGAGACGGCGCCTGGTCTACAGGGAAGAAGCTACAGTCCTTCTTCAACCTGATGCAGTTCCTACATCGGCCATCACCTTGTACCTCTGACATTATGCACCGAATTTTCCGCCTGCGGCAATGTCCTTGAATTTGCTGCCGTCAGTACAAATTCAGAAGAGACGCGAGAGGACGGGCACAACACTCACCACAAGCTACCGAGGTCCGGTGATAGCCCAGCTTGTTCCTCTTCTTGTCCCCAGCTTGGCCAGACTGACTTGAATCAGAGATATTGGCCTGCCGCAGTCTGACATTAGGCTTGTTCATGGAGCGTTTCGATTTTCGACGACTCGCCTGTAAGATGGAATCTCTACGCTCCTGGTCTGTTGGCTCGTGGGTCCCCTGGTCCATCGATGCTTGGCCTGAGCCTGGTGCGTCGTAGCTAGGCGCGAAGCCAGAATTGGGGACCTCCATGTCGGAACCGAGGGGAAGAAAATGCGAAGGATATGGGTAAGACATGATGGAACCCTGCACTCCAAAGTCGGTGACGTTGCAAAGTCGAATCCTTCTCGGGAAGTTAGGTCCATATAAAGGTCGGAGACCTATACTGCTATACCCTTGATAAACCTGTTGATGTCGAAGCGTCACACGATAGAGATGCGGAAAGGCGTTTCGAGGCGTTGGACCCTTTAGGCTGGCGATACAGTTTAGAATCCGGGCGTAACGTTGGTCGAGCTCTGCTGATGTTGGTCCGGAATGGAGGCTTCGTAGAAGCAATCAACGAAGATGCAGTGCGTTCTTGACGTTTGTCAACAGACACTTCTTCGAGGTGTCAACGAGGGGGCTACCCAAATGACGGGTCAAGATTTGCCGTTGATGTCGCGTTGGGTGCGGTACGGATAGAGCGCGGTTATGACCGATGCGGACACGGCACAAAGCGATGCCAGGGACGGACCAATCGAGATGATTTGAGTGGTCCAGCTAAGCTGCGAGTGCGGTAACGGCCAGGATGGTGTACCAAAGTCGGGAAGCTTTCTGAATGGGCTGCCGTCAAAATTGGGTCGGCTCCCCAAGTTTTTCCCGGTTCCGTGGGCTGATGATTACCACCCAAGTTGGGTAGGAAGGGGGTAGTCTAATAACAGCAACTGCAGACAGCGTATACTTGAATTCTCTGCGTTGGTATGCGTGTCATGCCGCTGTGGAAGTTTATATCGAGGGTATATTGGGTCGAGTCGGTTAATGGTGATGCTTGGGAGGTGTGACGTGGAGACAGAAAGACGAAGGTATCGAGCCTGAGAATGAGACCAAGACGTGGTCAGACAAGATTCAACCCTAAGTATGGTTTTGCATGATGTAAAGTCCAACCACGAAGGAGGAAAGAACGCACGAGGGAGAGATGACGAAAACATCCGAGAAAAGAAAAGAAAGGCACGTACCTTGCCAGTTAGAGGCTGCTGAACGATAGCGACTTGCTTCCTTGTTTCTCTGGGAAACCACCAGGACTACAACGGCAACAAGGGTGTCAACAACATGCTTTTGGTCTTGGGCATCCAGGTCAAGTTTTTGGAGTCGCGCCGTTATAGGGAAATGGGGCATCGATGGTGTGTACCTGATCTTTGGAGATGGTCGTCAAGGAGAAAACCGCCAATAGGCTTGCAATTCTAGACAGCAAATGCCTCTCGAGTATAAGGAACCCAGCCTTGGCTGTGTAATTCCCTCAACCTTGATATCCCAAATTTGAGTTCCTTCGGGGGCTCGCAAGTGTAAACAGGGTTTCTGGTTCACTATAGTAGTCGGTCAGAAGGTAGATGCAAGGCACCAACGGACAAGACGATTGAGGAGCAAATGGATAGAAACCAAGTAGCTTGTGGAGCATCAGGGAACCAGTCTCCAAGTGAATACACCAAGGGGGAAAGCACTCTGATGTTTACATACCTTGCTTGACGTGTGGCTGCATCCAGGGAGTGCCCAAGTAGTACCACGCAGCTAGAACGTTGTGTTCGAATGCGAATGGACCGCGGCAGATGGATGTACCGTTCCAGCGCCACCAGATGAGAATCTCGGCTTATTAGTTGAATGTACGCGCTAACAGGAACGCTCTAGATGATTGATGGACGTTTGGTGACAACTGTACGTGGGGGCCAGGTAGCTTGTCTCAGCCAGCAGATAGAATGCTTCCGATTCGCCCGTCTGTTTACCGCCTCTTAAGACTCGTCTGATCGTAGGGCAGTCTCTTCGAGGCTGAGACGAAGACGTCGGGCCACGAGTTCGAGCCTGTGAGCCTTTGAGACTTTCGGAGCAGTCGTCGAGAGAGTGAGATGAGTTGCAAAGACTCGAGGGCTGAGTTGCTTAGGTGTGGTGCTAAGATGGTAGATGTGGCGGGTTTATAGAAAAGGGTTGTTGTAGCGATCTCAGTGGCGAGGGGCTCGCTGGAATCCTTCGGTCATTGGAGGAGGCCGGTGTGAGAATTTTCAAAAGAGTCCAGTCTTGTAGGGATGCAAAGCTGGTCAAATGGGGAAGACCCTGAAAACCTGGTTCTGGTCCCTTCCTGCTTCGGTCCACTCTGACATCGAATGATGATGCTCGGCCCTCTGCTTGCGTCTGCCGTGTGAGGATGGAAAGAGGATTGTAAATGAGGTCTCAGCCAGAGAGGTTGAACCAAACTCTAGACATAGAGAAGTGATTCAATAATGACAAGGGGAGAAGAACAAGGAGGTGCGGCGGGACGGCATGCAGTTGGCAAGAAGTTGAGGAAATTAGAGAGTACAGCCAGAGGCCAAAGTCATCAGGCCGTTCTAATGACCCCAGAGTCTAGGCGAAAATGGAAAGTCAAGAAGAGCAAATGGGCTTTTGGATTCTGAAAAAGGTATCCTGAAACTGCTTCTCGAAAAGCGCTTGCCCAGAATAGTCTTTGTCCTTCTTCCCTTACCTTTCTGTGACGACCCTATACCATTGATCGTGTACCTAGATCGTTATTCGGACTTGATAAGCGCCGGGTAGTCTGGAGGCACTAGAATCAGCAGATGCTCTGCTTGTGATCTTCCCTCGACACTCCCTGGCACGATCCCTCGTCCGTGATGCGCACCGAGCAGACTCCCAAGCCAGACGGTGACCCTACAAAGGATATTGAGTAGCAAGCGCTGGGTACCCGGCGTCTCATCTAAGGCAGCGCAGCTGTCGATTGGCTGGTTGTCGTCACACTTCATCTCACCCCATCTCATATCCCATGCTCATCTTGCGAGCTCTTGGAGGGTGCTTGAACTGACCGGGGGCCACTCGCCGTCGAGTTGCCTCCAAGCGGCCCTTTCCTCCAACCCCTGCCCCATCAACGGGGATCTAGGAAGTGTGGGAGTGTGGATATGAAAAGCCTAGGCAGCCAGGGTGTGTTGGAGGGGTACGCAACTCCAGATGACAAGACAGAAGCCCAGATGCCATTCTCGAATCTTTTGCCGAAAATCAGGCACAGGAGGCACGCGGTCAGGTACTTCCGAGGGCTAAAAATTGGTGGGTATTGGCTTCTGATGAGGACATACCTCAATCGAAAGTGAACTGCTAAGAGACATGGCGAACTGTCTTACTGGTTTTGCTGCCAACCTGGAAAGTTGACCACTATACTCCGTACCCGTCTCGCTATAGGCGATAAGAGACTTATGGTCTTGACTCTCCAGTTTTTCCGAACGAATGCCTCATTCTACCGTATCCGCTTGTACCCCTGTTTGAGCCTGTCAGTTTTGCGGATCCTGGTGAAAGTAACGTCCAAGCACTGGTAGACTTGGGACGAAAGATGTGGGAGCTTGTCCCGCTACTTCCCTGCTCGCGCCATTGCGTCAAAGATTATCTTTAACCGTTGCTACCAGCCGTTGTTGTTCGCGAACTCCTCCACCTTGAAGTCTACAAGAAAGCTTATTGCTTCCAGACAGGTGCCGGACGTATCACCTGGTAGGTAATTCGAATGCCTATCTGGTTACAACTTACAACAGTGCTTCCATGCCCTAGTCTCTCGCTCCATTGATGCCGCGGAGACTCCGCCGAAGATATCAGGGCCATGACACAGGAAGTTGAATACGTGCGATTCTCTGGGCAATCTACAATTCCTGGCCATACTGTCTGCAGGAATTGAAGGACCTCAAGGTTCGGGCGCTGCCGTCACTCGGTAGAGGCTATATGTGACTCAGTATTGTCTTGTCATCTACAATGCTAGACAGGCTGTGCCTAGTTGAGGAAAGACGGGTTACCGATGGCGGGTTGCAACCTCACCACGTTCGTGGCCCATGCGTCGTCTCCAGGAGCTAGGCCCGTGACCTTCCGTTGCCGTTGTCAGAAATCCCAAGAAAATCCCAAAGAAATCGTTATACGTAAGGTATCCGTAGAGTGCTCGTTGTGATTCAGGGGCAAGTCGCCAAGCGCGATGGAAACCAGTGGTCTGGACCATTAGACCCAGAAAGGCGCATATGGCAATGCGTCGCGCCCATCTTTGATGGATTGAACGACCCTTTCATCTCGCTTTTGCTCTTCATGCATGCTTTGACTTTGTCACCTCTGCAGCACTCGAAAAGGTTGCAGGGCTAGCGGCCCGCGGTGACACAGCTGCCGAGATGTTCCAGCTGCATGGGAAGTGCCTGAACCATTCCATGCCTCAACTCTCAATTGCGGGCGGCATCATCCGATCAAGCGACGCTACGTTGCTGCACGTAGGGCGGCGCGGCAAAGCAGAGCCTCGACCGACGGCCACTACCAGTACCGCTGCCGCCACCACCACAACACTGGCTTCTCGGCGGGCGTGAGGAAAAGCCTCTCAAGTCCGGGACAGCGGACCAGAAAAGACGGCCTGAATCAGTTGAGTAATCTCGCGCAGGCTCAACTCGGAAGATTGTCATGACAACAACTCTGCGATTCGAGGTGTCGTAACAGCGAAGCGCTCGTGAGCAGGCCGCTACTTTACATTAATCCTGACGTGCCGCTTGACAGGCCAGAAAAATCAACATTGGGTTATTGAATGATCCGCCAACGAGGTCACTTCTCGGGAGATGTGATTTCATCTGAGAGTTGGGACGAACTAGAGTTGACGATGGACGATGATCAAAGAGCATATTACCCAAAGGTTCTATGTCCGCTTCCACCTTCACTTGCAGGACTTGATCTGGCATGATGCGCAGCCAGGATATGCCATCAAAAAAAGAAGCAGCCGCACTTGACGATGGTCTTCCCGAATTATGCTGTGGTGTTCCGCTGCACCCCGCATTTCCTTAGTTGTCGTTGTTGGCCCTGTCGCCGCAAGTCTCGGAGCATCGTCCCTTGAAAACCTTGCCGATCAAACCTGATCTGAATCATCCCAACGTCTTCGGAACTGACAGACATCAGACAACCGAGTCCCCTGGCACCCCGAACAGCAAAGGGACAGAAAAAAGCTCGGCCCGTTGTGTTGTGATTTTCTTCTTCCCCAACAAGCTCCACCCCTCTGTTAAGGAAGGTCT